GTGCTGTCCTGTGTTCCAAGTGCCTTTAGACAGAGCTTGAACATCTCGGACTCCACTCCTCTCCCTGCTATGTGGGCTTGTGTGTAAAGGCTCTCCTGAGAACAGGGAAAATTAGGCAAGAAGCAAAACCTGACTGTTCTAAAGTAAATGAGGTGACTGTTTCCAGAGCCTGCTGTGTTTCAAGACACTTACATTGTACCATCCCTGGAATTGCTCAAGGCTGAGTTGGATGGGCCTTGGAACAGCCTGGTCTAGTGGAAGGTGTCCCTGCCCATGGCAGGGGGTTGGGACTGAATGATCTTTAAGGTCCCTTCCAACTGAAAACACTCTGGGATTCTGGGACCTTTTCCTGAGGAACTTGGGGAGAGTCCTTTACTTGCTTCTCAGAATGTGCTTCCTGTGTAGCATTTGGTTTTATAATATACTTATTCCTTCCTGGTAGAAATTTAATGAAAATGGAAAGCAATTGGTTTCTCTGAATGGTTGATTGAACCCCTCACTAGCACATAAGCTTGTTTCTAGTGCCTGCCCCGTAATTTGTTGTCACTGAAGTCCATCTTCTCTCTCCTTTTTCCTTTCCATCTTTCAATTAGAATTATTTTTTTTAAATTGGCTGTTTCTTGACATAGGAGAGTTGGCAAGACAAGCTGATCTTGTACTAAAATTTTGTGATCATCTGCATGGTTCCAGAATAAGGGGCCCCAAGCTGTGCCTCAATGGAAGGTGTTTCCTCCTTCCCTCCCCCAAATGCTGCAGCCATGAACAGCACAGGCAGCACCCCCTGCACTTGTTCTGCCTAAAGCACCAGCTGGGTTTGACCTCCAGCCTTAGAGATGACACCCAAGACCACCTTTTTAACTGATGGGAGGATTAAATAAGAATTAAATGTTCTGTGCTACTTGTGAAAAAATAAACTTCTAGCCTCTGTATATGATTATGGTTGGCTAAACCATCAGATCCCTGCTGCAGTGCACCACCTTTCCTTTGGCTAGAGTGTTTCGAAGTGACTGTAATAATATGTAACTTTTCCTTAAATTCCTCCAGCTCCCTTTTGCGGGTTTTGTTGTTCCACCTCCACAACAGCCGTCGCTGCCGGAGGTTTCTGCTGGCGCAGTTCGGGAAGAGCAGCTCCCAAAGGCCGATTTTGGGTGGGGTGGTTTTGGTGCGGGCCCGGGCGTGGCGGTGTCCCCTCCCCAGCGCTGTGGTGCCATCGCGTGGCCGTTCGCTCGCCAAGAGATTTCACCGTCCGGAGCGCAGAACCCCTCGTGTTCCTCTGGGAACAGTGCTGGTGCTTTTTTTTTTTTTTTTTTTTTTGCCTTCACCTCTGTGGGAGTGTCTCGGCCTCCTCTTGGGCACAAAGCTGTTAACTGCTTGTTAGACCTGCATCCCTAAAGCCCGGACACCTGTCATGTTTTATGGGAGTCAGTGGATATACCTTGGGATAACCTTGCATCTAAAAAGGGGTCTGGATTGGCTGTTGCTTCCAGCACAGCCCGTGGGGTGGTGCATCCCAGGGGGGTCAGGAGTGCTTCTGCTTTTTTGTCTGTGGAGGAGCAAGTACTTGCAGCTGGTACCTCTTCTACATACAGCCAGGTTTGGGTAGGAATCACAACTTAAATTGCTTGAAGAAAATATTTTCCAAGAAAAAGCCCATCAGAATCCTGATTGCACTTTGAATATGTTGCTCTTTCCCAGCCACAGCAGCAGCCCAGCCCACCCTCAGCTGCTAGCTCAGCAGCAGGGTGAGGGTCAGCAACGCTGCCAAAGGACCTCAGTCCTGTCAAATAGCTGGACACAGAACACCAAGCAGCATCACTTCTGGAGTCATGGGAACAGGACAGCTTTGTATCACCTTGCCTGCCTTGGAGCATGACAGTCATTTGCCACTCCAACAGGGGTCTGTTAAGCCTAGGACACCAACAGTGTGGTGGAGTGGTGGATAAACATGGAAAGAGCCCAAGAATACGAGGATAAATTATCTGAGTCCAGAGGAGGGGCCAGTAAGATCCTCAGAGGCCTGGAGCACCTCTGCTATGAGGACAGGCTGAGAGAATTTGGGTTGTTTAGCCTGGAGAAGGGAGGGCTCCAGGGAGACTTTACAGCACCTTCTGCTACCTCAAGGGGCTATGAGAGAGCTGGAGAGGGACACAAGGACATGTGGTGATAGGACAAGGGGGAATGACTTTGAACTAAAAGGGTACAGGATTAGATTAGTTATTAAGGAAAAAAAAAAACTTCACTGTGAAGATGGTGAGGCACTGGATGTGATTTAGAGAGAAGCTGGGGTTGCCCTATCCCTGGAAGTGTTCAAGTGTTCAAGACAGATTGGATCAGTCTTGAAGCAATCTGGTCTAGTGGAAGGTGTTCCTATACATGGCAGAGAGGGTTGAAACAAGATGATATTTAGCTTTCAAGTCAACCACTCTGCTCTCTTTTGCTTGTAGTTAACACCTTCCTGACCTTAAAGAGTCACCTGGTGACCTACCATTTTCAGGCTGATGGATGTGACAATCCACTGTCAGCTCACGCGTTCCTCTCCTTTGCACTGTCCCCGCTGCAGGTGGGAGCTCAGCTGGGGATTTTCACCCCCACAGCACTTACAGTCACATCCCAGCTGACAAAAGCCGAGGCAGTGGCAGGTCACAGGTGACTGTGAACAAGGCTGGTGTTTGAGAGAGTCTTCTTGCTTGATGTTTCTTATTAAGCATGTAGCTCTCCTTGTAAACAGGTCACTTGGGTATCTAACACCCAGGTGACTTGCAGGCAGTTAATGCAGAGCCACCAAGGTGGTCCTTGAGTTTGTAAAGCCTGGGAAGCTCAGAAATCCAAGTCTGCCCTCAGCAGATGAAACCTCTAATGGCACATTCTTTACTTGCTCATCTTGGATGAATCAGGACAGCCTTGGACAAGAGCTGTCCTTTCCAGGCTGGGCAAAGCCAGGGAGTTGGCACAAACTGCTGAAGTGTTTGGACAGGATGCTGTGTTCTTCAGAGAAGTGTCATTGCTCCTGTCTCTGCCCTGTGAGCTCTGAGGGTGGAGGGCACTGTCTGGTTTGTTTGGGGACACAAGGTCTGCCAACTATGGAAGAACAACAGAACTGACAAGAACAAGGCCCTGTGCCAGCCTACGGCATCACTTTTGATAAAGCATGACACTGCTTTTTCTTCTTTGTGAAACAACTAGCAAAAGCATTTAATCTCAATGGAGACAGGCCCAGGCACATCAGGAGTTCATGAATTTGTCTGTTTGTATTTTTCTGCCCTGAAGTGGCATTAGATTTTCCCCAACAGAAGTGTATATCCAGCTTATCCAGTTGCTAAAACAGTTGAGAGGAAAGCAGCCTGTCTCACCTCTTACCTGGGCTCTGCTAGCTCACCCAGAAAGGGGGCTCTGAGGGCACAGAAAGGGCTTTAATGCAGAATTTCCCTTTCTCTTCCATGTGTTAGGCTGAAACTCACCGTGAAAGTGCTGCCATATCCAGTTCTGAACTGCTTTCCCAGTGTGCACGTGAGTGCTGTAGCTGCTCAGCAAATGGTGACTCGGTTCTGGGACTGGGGAGTGTGGGAAAGCTCCCCACTAACCAGGGGTGTGCAGCTTGTGGGATGGAGGGGACTGGTCTGCTGCCAGCTTCCCTAGCAGGAAAAATCTCACTGGGTAATTGCTGGCAGTGTTTTACCAGTGCACAGAGCTGCTCCATCCTCCAAATGCTGCTCCTGCAGATGTTGTCCCTCACTGCAGAATCTCAGCCTACTGGTGAGTGGATGGCCCTGCACAGGTCTGGGTGGAACAGGTTCTTTACACAGACTAAGATCAAACATCCTGTGGAGATACTTGTAAAACCTGTAAAGCCAAGCAGAGAATGTCATGCTGAGAGTTCTGATGCCTGCAGGGAAGGGACAGCCCTCTAGCCACCCCTGCCTTGTCCAGAGCCACTGGGCAGCATCTCTGTGAGGGGCTGCCAGGGCCCAGTCCTTGAGCCTGATGTCGTGCTTGTGATCAGTCATCAGCTCAGGGAAGCCAGCTGGTCCCAGTCTGACCTGCACGCACCCAAACTGGTGCTACCAGAGTGGAGGAGGCTGCCCTGTCCCCCTGCAGCTGCCATGAAGCAGGAGAGTTAGGCAGACTGTCACTGCCAGAGACAGGAGGACAGGAAAGTGTCCCTGGCTCCAAACTGCCCCCGCCTGGGCCACTGTGAGGAAAGCCTGAGGGTTTGTGTTAGAGCAGGCTAGTTTTGGCTCATCATGTTGGGTCCTACTGAGGGTCCCGGAGCACAAAGGACACAGTGCATGACAGTGCCTGATCTCACTGAATGTGCAGCTGTAGGGGCTGCGTGTGGAGCATCCACGATCCTGTATGAGGAGCTCTCTGTTCCCTCAGTTTGGGCAAAGATGTGACATGTGAGATGTGTCATTCAGCTGAATGCTAAAGGAAATCCTCTCACAGCAGGGGCCTGGCAATGCTGATTGCTGAACAGTGGGGGCAGAGGGAAAGGGGGGGATCTTTCAAAGCAGGGCTGCAAGGTAAGGAAAACATGGGGACATCTGTGTCCTCAGGTGGCCCAGCAGGCAGTACAGACACTGGAACACATGGAAAATGGGGTGGGGCCTCATTAAACTTAATGCTTTCACCTCAAAATCACAATCATCAGGATCTATGAGCTTGATCCTGATAACAAGTTGATGCATCAAGCTGGACACCGTGGGGGCAACGGGGAAGGGAGAGGAATGAAATGCTGGTTGGGAAAGCTCCGTGCTCACCAGAGGCTGCGTTCTGGCTACAGCATGGTTGGCCCCGGTTAAAATAGGAACTCTTCTGGGGTTGTTTTTCTCGTTTCTCTTCTCTCAGGAAATCTTGTGCGTCTAAAAATTGAGATCCTCTCACTTGACGAGGTCACGGGGGGCTGGCCCGCAGCCAGGCTGGATTCCCAGGCTGCTCTGCCCATCCCTCCCCGAAGCCACCACTTCCTCCAGAGCACTGCTCTCGCACGGATTTCTGCAGTTCTGTGAGGGGAGATCTGCTCCTCTGGGTGCCTGCTGCGTGCTGTGCTCTCAGGAGGCCGTATCGTCTCAAGACCTGTTGCAGTCTCCGAATATAAACCCCCCTTTGTTGGGGAGAGGTTGACTTGACTGAGCCGCATGATCAGTCAGGTGACAAAATTGGGCACAAAAGCGGAGCAGAATGAGCAGCTGGGTGAGGGCATTAGCTGCTGATCCTGCCTCTTGACAGGCTGTGTTACTCCTCAGGGAAAAATGAGTGCCTGGCCCTGTCTTCTGCTGTGGAGCTTAACCATGGTGTGTTTAACAGGTAAGTCCTCCCAACACAGGGTTTCTCTTCACTGGCTGAGCACACGGGTGGGTGAAGCCACCATGGGCCTGTGGGAGCCCTGGGCAGGGCTGGGGGAAGGCAGGGAAGGAAGGAAGTGTTGGAACACTGGCAGTGTTGGAAATGGGGTGCATGCAGTATATACAGAAACTTGCTCATACAAGAGGAAAAGAAAAAAAGGAGAATTAGAGCTGTATTACTCTGCGTATTGAGGATTTGCAGAGGCTTTATCTTAAACCCCAAGGAGCAGGATGCCTGTTGGTAGGCTGGGAAAGATCAGCTCTCTGATCTTTCAGAGATCAGCCTGACATCCTCAAGGCTCTTGTTCATACCAAGGTGCCACACGCAAAATAACAGATCCTTCAATTTTCCCTGGAGATACTTTGGATGATTCACAGTGCTCCTTAACAAAATAATAATAGTAATAATAATAATAATAATAAATGTCTACAAAGTAAAATCGCTGTTCCATGATGTAGACAGTGTAAATGCAGGTGAGAAAATGGTTTGTCTGATGAAGCTGAGGTTGTTTGAGTACTGGTTTTTCACACCTGTGACTGACTATAACTGGTAAAATACACAAACACTTTACTAGTGCTCAAAACTACTTTTTTCAGCCTGCTGAAAACTTCTTTTTTTCTCCAGAAATTGTTAAATTACTAAGAAGTACTGGCTACCAAAAGGTTATTGATGGATACTGAAGTTTTGCGAACAAGTATATTACTTCCGGTAACGTGTTGTGGAAATCTACTTTCCATTTTAAAAAATTCCTCTTAAGAGCATCACCATTTGACATTAAAACCAGCCAACCAATGAAACATATTCAACTAAAAAACCCCAACAACAACAAAAATCATCCAGCTGTGGGCAGTCCAAGTTGTTGAAACCTCTGCAGTGTCTCTGGCTGGCAGAGTTGAGCTGTTGGGGACAGGAGGGAGCTGTGGCAGATCAGTCTCTGATCTCAGAGGTCCTCCTGAAAGTTTTTTCCTGGGAATTTGACAGCACTCTTAACTTATGCTAGTGTTTATGTTTGGATCAGTTTAATGGATCTCAGGACTGACTCAGTTTGTTGCCAGAGGTGAGGAAAAATCAAGCAGACTGGCTTCAGCCCCTGAGGCAGGGGAGTCAGATGAGGGGAATTGTGCATCTTGGTTCTGGGTGGCAGCATGGCCACAGTGGCAGTGCCCAGTGTGGGCACTGTGGAGCTGCTCTCCCTCCCCTGGACCAGTGCTGGCACCCCTGTCCCTTGGATTTGAGCCTTGGGCAAACCAGCATGTTACAAACTGATCACTGCAAGATTTGGTGTCTCTGTTTTAGGGCTACAAATAGAAAATGAGATTTAGTTCAGTTGGTGCTGAACATTATTGGCACAGTGCTAATAATGCCAAGGTTGTGGGTTTGATCCACATATGGGTCATTCACTTAAGAGCTGGAGTCCATGATCCTCTAGGTCCCTTCCAACTCAAAGTATTCCATAAATTCTTTAAAACCTGGGCAGTGGCTCAGATGGCTGGCAGCTCCTCTGCTTTACTCAGTAATTACACCAAGATGGATTTTGGCACAAAGCAGGCAATCATCAATAGGAGGGAGCACTCCCAGCAAACTGTCTCCATGTGATCACAACCTTATAAAGACTCTTTTATCCATTGGCCTGATGCTGGTGCAGAACTTTAACTGGAGCTGCCATCCAGTTTGGCCTGTTGATGTTGATGTCCATACCATGGTACTGAGCACGTGCCTGGCCTTGCATGGTGGGTACAAAATTGAAAGAGAAGTTAAAGGCTGGGGGTGAATCAGGGCTGGGGAAGAGTCTGCAGGGATGTGGGTCTGACACCTGACAGCTTGTGCTGTCGCCCATCTTGTCACCTTGCCCATGTCCTTCCTCACCTAGATCCTGCTGTCAGGTGTCAGCTGCACTCTTTGACCTCTTTGAAAACCACAAATCAATTTCTTAGGGGTCCTTGTGTTTTCTGTGCCACAGGGCATGGATTGCCAAGGGGGCTTAGCAGGTTTGTGCTGCTTGGGAGAGCATTTACACCCCACAGTATCAGCCCCAGTTGCCTATTGGTGCTGTGTAAGGTTGAGTGTTTTCAGAAGCTGCAGTAAGTACTGAGTAAATCTGCCCTGAGTTCCTGAACCCAGCTGGTGGCACAGCTGCTGTGGTATAAGCTGCCTGTTTTGGCTTTGCTTTTCTTCCTTTGCTTAGTACCACACTGCTAAATTAACAATGACCTGCTGCTTTCCATGCTCAGTTCCATGGGTCTCTCCTCTGTTAGACACTGGAGGACGTTACCCATGCCTGTGCCCAGGGATGTCTTCCATCACCAGATGATGTTCCAGTCTACCATGTACACAGCAAAACAACCTGAGTTGCAGTAATACCTCCTTTCTCTACAGACTGCAGCAATCCTCACTCTGAGAAGGGATTACAGAATTAAAGCAAGTCTTGGCCTGCAGGTTCCCTTCTGGTTACTGGATGTAGCACCAGACAGCTTAAAAAACCCCTGAGCCCATCTTTTCTTGGCTGATCTGTTTAAGAGAGATGGGATAAAGCAGTCAGCTATTTGATAATCATCTTAAATCAGATTGTCATGAGATCCCAGCATAAACAGTCTCAAGGAGCTAACAAAACTGACTGTTTCAGACAATTCTCACACCATCTCAGACCTCCATTGGCATCTACTTACTTGTGGCCTCATGGACCCACTCATTTATTTCCTTGGTAAGTCTCTGATGTGCCAGACATGCTCAGATGCTGCCTCAGATCCTTGCTCTGAACACAGCAGAGGGGAGTTTTCTGGACATCAAACAAGCCTATGTGGTTTAAGCAGTCGATAAAGACCGAAATGAGAAGCCCTCATTAAAGGGAGAACAACAATTCAGCCACTAATTATGTCTTTTCTTCTCTTAGGTATTGCTTTAGGCCAGATAACCAGCACTGAGGTTCCCATTGCATCAACCCCAGCACCTCCCAGTACAGCCAGCACTGAGGTTCCCATTGCATCAACCCCAGCACCTCCCAGTGCAACCACTGCTGCAGCCTCTGCTCCCCCAGCTGCTCCTGCAACACTCTCAGCTGGACTGACCCCAACCACTGCAAACCCTGCTGCATCCACAGCAGCTCCAGCTGCTGATCCGAGCACAAAATCCCCTTCCCAGACTCTGCCCACCACCACGGGGACCGCCCCCACCTCTGGCAGCAGGGCTGCCTCTCAAGGGTCTGCAGCACTGACAGTCACATCCAGCGGTGTCCCAGCGTCCCCTCCAGGAATGACCACATCCCCTGGGGTCCCAGCATCAGCTCTGCTCCCCACCACCCCCCAGCCCTCCAGCTGCAGCACAGTGAATGTGACAGCCTGTGCCCGCTGCCCCCCTGGGACAGTCCCCACCCAAGGTAAGGGTCCCTGCTCCCATCTTCTGTGTTAGAGGGAAAAGGGATTTGTCAGGGGAGGTGAAGCCAAAACTTGCTCTTGTTGGAAGCTTGGACAGGCAGCAGGAGAGGGACTTAATTCATTTCACCCTTCTGAAATCAAAGATGTGGTCTTTCCTGGCCTTGTGCTGTGTTTTGGTCTTCCTGAGGCTTTCCAAGTGGGATGACAAAGTAGTGGGATTGTGGCACAAAGTGTATCACAAGTACAGTTTGATTTATTGGCAGAAGAACATAATTTTGGGGTCCAGGGCCAAATACAAGGTCAATTTCCAGCTGTCTTGAATGTTTGAAAGAGAATCTGCTGTAGAGGCAGCCTTTTACAGTGGCCTTGAGAAAATCCTTGATCAAGCTCTGCTGTGGTCAGCAGTGCATAATATAACCTTTCCCAGAAGTTATTTGTTGTAACGTGGTTGGGTTTTGATTTCAAACACCACTACCCCATCCCACAAAAAAAAAAAATCTCAAAAAAAGAAAATAATTCTCCAAAATACAAGCCATGTACTTTTTGCTTGTTCCCTGCACTGCAGGGCACTTTTTAAAAGCAGCTCTGATGCTTTAGGGTGAATCTGCAGAAGGCAGGAGTTCTCTCACCTCCCTTTTATGCAGGACCTTCTTTGACAGGGCCTTCTCTTGCCTGTGTTGGTGGTGCAGCTGCAGTAAATCCCACCCAGTTCCTCTGTGTGGCTGGGATTGGTTTTGTGGAGCAGAGAGGGGCAGAACTTGCCTGCTGGGAATGCATGCAATGTACCTGTGCTCAAAGAAAAGCTGCTGCTGCTTAAGGCAGATCCTCGACTCTGGGGCTTTACTTAACAGTTCTGCTTCCTACAAGCTTAAATTATCAGTAATCTAAAGAAATATACTGGTTTAATTTTATTTATTTATTTGTTTTGTTTTTGGGTTTTTTTTAATCTTTTTGTGTGTTGGAGGGAAAACAAGGAAAATTTTCCTGGACCCTCAAATTAAAGAAGGAAAAAGCAGTCAGCTTAATTACTGGAGATCCACACTGACAGCCTTGACTCCTTAGATCATCTTTTGGCTGTTCTGCAGCTTGCTAACAGTGGACAGCAGCATAATTAGCATGAACATTACAGTTTCTACCCTCTAAGAGTGCCTTGCCAGGGAACTGCATCCCAAAGCTTCTGCCTTTGTGGCAGTGACCTGTCCTGGCAGACACAGAGGTTGCAGTCAAGCCTGATCCTGATCCTGACTTTCTGTTCCGATTTAGGCACCTTGAGCTGCTCGTGCTGCACAGGGGGCTCGTGTGTAGATCCCAGTGCCTGCAGCCCCTGCCCACCTGGCCACTACCAGCCCCAAAGTGGGCAACCATCCTGCCTGCCCTGCCCACAGGGGTATTACACCAGGTGAGTGACTGTGGTACACCACAAACACTTCCCAGCTGTAAAAATCTCTTCCTTTGGGCTGTTGGAAAAGTGCTGCCAGGGTTGTTTCTCAGAGGCTGAATTCTCCTCATCAGGAAATCTTGGTGTGGATGTCCTTGTGCTGAAGGCTGCTCCTCTCTGGGCTCTCCTTTTGTATCACCCTGTCTTTTGTCTGCACTGAGGGAACATGTTGCTTTGTGGTGGGGAGACAGGAGTGAGCTGTGGGTTCACCTCCTCAGCTTTTCTGAAGGCTGTGTCTGACCAAAAGGCTCCATCTCCCTGCTTTGCCCGATGACTTTCTCAGTCCCTGTTTTCTTACCCCCGAGGCATCTCACTACATTTGAGTCCCTGGCATCTAAAGCAATACCCTCAGCTGATGGAGTGTGGAAAAGCTGACAAGACATCCCAGCCAGGAGCCCAGTCCTGCAATTCCAGGACTCACCCAGGGATGCTGTTCAAGTGTCCTCTGGCTGCGGGACGTGTGCATGTGCTGCTCTCTCCGTTTTATCGGATTTTCTCTTGCTGTATCCATGTCTGCAAACAGTGAGCTGTGCCCTTTCTGTGGTGGCAAGGACAGGAGGGGGGGCAAGAGCCTACCCAGGACTGTGTCCATTGCAGGGCAGCTCCATTTGGATCAGTCCTGGGGACTGGCAACAAAATCTGGCTGTAGGAAAGGTGACCTGACTGTGCAGATTGTTTGCAGCAGCCCCTGAGTTTGAGGTGCCAGCAGGATCTTCCTCTGTGCTCCCCCCTTGCAGTTCGTGCTGTGAGAACCTGCCTTAAAAATGTACCTCCAAATTGTTTTAAAAACCAGTCAGGAGCAGTCTCCAGGGCACACAGAGCTGCTGTGTTGGGATGTGGGAGAGGGCCAGGGCCCAGAGAGGGTCAGGCAGCAGTGCTGGGTTGGTGTGTGCCAGAGCAGGGACCAAAGGTGGGGGGTTCTGGAGGGCACCTGGGGGTGCAGTGTGTGCATTGCCATCTCCTGGTGGCTGCCTGGGCCTCAGGGCTTCGAAGGTGCCATTAAACATTTCTGTGGTATTTGGAGAACTTGGCCTCCCCACAGCTTTGAGTGGCTCTGGCAGGCCAGTTTTTTGTTGTTTGTTTGTTTCCAGTTGGTTTGGGGGTTTCTGGTTTGGTTTCTTTCTGCAAATCTCATCCAGCCCTGAAGTTTCTGAAGGAATCAAAGAGCATGTCCTTGTTTTCCTCCAAAGTGTCTCTGAGTATGTTATCAAATTCCCATACCCACATACTTGAGGGGGGATTTGGCTCTGTTAGTGATGAATGTAAAAGCTTCCTTTTCCCCTGACTTTGCCTCATTTCCTCCCCCTCCTCCTGGACATTTTGCCTCCCTTTTCCCACAGTCCCTGCTATTTAAGGTTGGGGCTCTCACACGTCACTGCCTTTGGTTTAGGTCCTTTTTTCAGCTCCTGATTCCCAGCAATGGAGCAGCTCCTTTTGAAATCACTGATGGATGCTGAACAGCAAACACCTTCCCTATTCGATTTTCAAGAGTGGATTTAAGAGTCTGACTTTAAGCCAAAGGTTTTAAGCCTGACCACAGCATATTTTTCAAGACCTTCAATTCAGATGGTCCCTTTCCGTATTGCTCACAGGCACAGGGCATCTCTAATGTTAATAATACAGAAAACTTTATTTTTTTAGTGGACCTTTAACATTCAGGTGAGTTCAAACTGATGTTTTTCTGTCTGAACTCCTTTTTCATAACTGCTCCATTTCTAGACTTGTCAGTGTCATGTTCTGCTCTATCTTCTCCAAGTGGACAGAGGCTTGGGTGACCTAAAATTGTGTCCCACTCTGCTCCCTTCCCTCCCAGCTTCCCAAGGAGCACCGTGTGTCTTCCCTGCCCACCAGGACATTTTGCTAATGAGTCTGGGGCTGCAGCCTGCAGAGCCTGTGAGCAAGGTAGGCTTTGGTTTGTGTTCAACCCAAATGCATTTTCATCACATGATGCTTTTTCCCAGGGCCAGATGTAATTACCAGGTAACTTAAAAGCACTGAAGGGTAACCAGGTTAAAAATAGCCCAGATCTCTTACCTATTCTGTTGTTAAAATAAAAAGAGCAGATCTCAGCCATGCTTCCATGCTTGTTTTTGCAATAAGTTAACGCTAACTCTGCAATGAAAGTCTGGAAAAAAGTTTTATGAAATTCAGTTTTAGCACAAAGGGGGGAGCATTGTCAGGAAAATAAAATACTATTTCTGATAGCAAAAATGAGTCTAAACCATCTTTGTTTTCATTTAGACAATTTTCTGCAGTCTGAATATTAAGTGTAATACTCTCCTTATTTTCCACACGTTCCACACTGGGGTTTTAAAAAGGAGCTGCTTTGCACCTGGCTAATGCCACTCAAGCTGGTACAATGTGTTTGCAGACAGGGTAACAGCATGTGCAGAACAGAACAGCACTTACTTATGCAAAACCCTAATTAACACATGCAGTGCAGCAGCTCCTCTGCACCCAAAATGGGGTCCTGCTTGAACATGCACAACTGTTCCTTTGAAAATCCACCCACCGAGCTGCTGGGCTGTGCCCAAACCTTGGCTGTCACTTGCTGAGTCTGGGAGGAACAAAATCTGACTGGTGACAGCGATGGGGTCTGTCACTGCCTTTACTCAGCAGATTTGAACACTGTGTTAGACAACAGGGGAGTCTGTGGGGGTGGCCCCTAAATCCTGCAAGTATAAAAGTAAAAAATCCTTTGCCTTGCAGGGAGAGGGGAGATGGGTTTGGTTTCATCCTGCTCTGCCACAGCCTCTGCTGCTTGATGCAAATCCAGGTTTGAGGCAGATCTTACCCACACCATGTCCAGCTCCTCTCTGAAGCTTAATTCTGTCCCATATGGGCAGTGACCATGCTGTGCATCATCAGGCACCTCCAAACCCACCTGAACTCCCAAGTGCTGCTCTCTCAGCTTTCCTGTTGGTGTGGTGAGACTCACAAATTGGATCCTGCTGGCCCCTGGGAACTTTGGGACAATTCACTCTTTTTTGTGCCTTGGGAAGGGTCTGTACACGTCTTCCTGGTCCTTGTTGTGCAGGGAGGGAGGCTCTGCACCAGCAGAGCCACCTTGGCTGGTGGGTCTTGTGTCCTTCCTTTTGCAGGGAGGAAGGTGCACCCCAGACCTCCTGGGGTGGGGGAAGGCCTGGAAGGGTGGGGTGACTGGAGAGGTTTCCCCTGGTCAGAGACCTGTTCCAGCTGAATAACTTGGGAGCTGGCACTGGGATCACCTATTCCAGCTTCATTCCAGTTTAGCCTGTGGTGCTGGGAAGGGTGGCAGGTTTCTCTGTCTCCTTGGTGTGGTTTTGAGTGATGTGAGATGTGCCACCGGGGCATCTGCCAGAGCCCCCCGTGCATCCCTCAGCATGGCAGAGGGCAGCAAGGAACTTCCATTGCTCTTTCAGAGCTTTGACAAATATCACCCCAAAAATCCTAAATTAAACCCTGAAATGCCACCTGAAGCGTGCTGTGGGGAGTTGTTTGGTTGCTTGTAAAATGGGCACAATCAAATACAGAGCAGTGTGGGGCAGAGATGTGGAGGCAGGACCCCGAAGCCTTACTCTTCTCTTTTTCAGGCTATTTTAGCTCCAAGCAAAATGCAGCTTTTTGTCTGCCTTGCCGGCCGGGGTCATTTTGCAAGTAAGGAGCCTCCTGGGGTGCGGGAGCTCAGGTGGACAGGGAGGAGGGGGGTTTGTTTTAGCCACTGAGCTGGAACCAGCAGTGTGGTGCTCAAAGACAGGTCACCAGCCATTTCAGCTGCAGGATGGGGCTTCAAGCAACCTGGTCAGGCATCTCTGACCATGGCATGGCAGTGGGAATGAGATGATCCTTAAGGTCCTTTCCCACCCAGACCATTCTGTGATTCTGTGAGAATCTCACTGGAGACAGACACCCACAAAACAGCAAAAGTTCCTGGCTGGTGTGGTTGACTGAAGACTCCGGTTTGTAAGAGCTGGCTTTGGTGGGCTGGTTTGGTCTTGGAAGTGCTCATCCTACAGCGTGTCCTGCCTCCTCTCCCCTCCCAGCACCAGCAGCTGCTCGGCCTGTCAGTCGTGCCCCGGCGGGCAGGAGGCTCCTCGGGAGGCGTCGGAGCGGTGCGAGGCCTGCCCGGCAGGTAACTGCAGCCAGAGGAGAGGCTGTGCCTGGCTGGGAACACACAGCTCCAGTGGCTCATTCCACTCATCTCATCCAGCCCAGGGGCTGCCGGTCCCTGCAGAGCAGAGCTGTGCCCTGGCAGTGAGGGATCGCGCTGGGATGGTTTGACTGGGTGCTGGCGGAGGCTGTGCCTGTGCCACACCTTCCCACCAGGATGGTTAAAGGCTCGGAGCTGTGCTGGTCCCTGACGTGCCAGAGAGCCCAGATTCACAGCTGGGTAACAGCTCCAGCAAAGAGCATCTTTGTGGTGGTGGCTTTGCTGAGGAAAGCACAGCCTTGCTCTCAGAGATAGATGTTCTGCAGGGGCAGAGGGACACGGGGAGGGGATGCGAGGGACGTGGCCGTGCTCCTTCCTGTGCTGTCTGAAGCAGCAGGCTGAGCAGGTGAGCCAGCAGGGCTGGGCAGAGCTCTGGCAGAGCCCATGGCAGTGGGCAGCCTCCAGTGTGGACACAGCACCGGGGGCGTCTCATTGCCAAGCTGCGTTTTAAACATGCAGGAAAGCATTTTACCACTCTGAGACTTGGAACTTCTGTGACCCGTCTCTCCCACAAAGCTTGGGAAACTGAGCTGTGCTTTGAAGTCTGCTCAGCAAGTTTCAAACAGCTGGAAAAGGTGTTTGAATCCAGAATTGGAGAGGATGAAACACTGCTGACCTCCAGCTCCCATCTTCCCTCTACATTAAAGCCAGAGCTCACTACTAAACCCCTCTCCCACTACTCCTACTCACACTGCTGTGTTTGCTGAGGTCTGACCCCAAATATTCTTTAGTCCCTGTTTGTTCTGTTCTGACCCTTTGCCCCCAAACCAGGACCAAAGTCCAGGCTCAGCTTTTGTTACGCACGTGAGAACTTAATGCTCTTTCTCCCTGTGGCTTTGAAAGCTGATTCATCCATAAGCAATTGCAAAGGTCCTGGGGCTTAGTCTCAGGCCTTAATATTCTGCTTATTTGCTATTTAGGTACATTCAAAGGTCCCAGTGATGACAGATGCAAGGCCTGCAGGACAGGAGAGTACCAATTACAGCGGGGCAAGGAGAGCTGTGACCTGTGCCCAGAAAACCACTACTGCCCTGTGAGTCCCCATCAGCTGGGGCAGCCTTTGTTAACCTGAGCGTTCCCATGACAAGCTAAATACACTGCAATTAACACTTTTTTTTTTTTTTTTT